CAAGTCCACCTGCAGCATCATGTGCAGGTTGCGAGCAGCAGAGCTATGTACCCCAAAGCCTGGCACCCCCACATTGTGCATACTATGTCTTCACTGCATCCTCCCTGCTGCTTTGGAGCACCTGGGGGCCTCCAGCCCAGCCTGGGAGCATTGCATCGAAGGGAACAAGCAAAACAGGATGTTACTGTCTCAATCAAGGTTGCCCTCTATACCATACTGGGTTCTTTCTGCCTTGTTTTTTTTTTCTGTCTCTCCGTAGGTTGTAGCATTGTAGAAATTTTGTTTCTGGACATCCAGTCCATCCTCCTGCTTGCAGCAGGACTGGCACTAGTGCTCAGGTCAGCTGTGGCTTTGTCTAGATGAAGCTTGAAAACCTGCAAGGGTGGAAACTGCGTGACCTCTCTGGGCAGCCCAGTGCACTGCCCTTGGAGTAAAGCAGTTTGTCCTGCTGCCTGGCCTCGAGCTCCCAGGCTAGAGTTTGTGGCTGCTGCCCCTGCCACGTCACCTGCAGCTATCAGGAGGCATTTGGCTCCATCTTTGTAACTGTCCTGCAGATAATATTAGGCTGTTACTAGGTCACCTCACAGCCGCCTCCTCCTCGGACTACATCCAACTCCTTCCACTGTTTTTCCGGAGGGTAGGCAGTTGGGCTCCCTGGACATACCTCAGGAGCCCATCATTGGAGCCTCTATAGTTTTTCAGCATCCTTGTTAGGTGAGAGGCCCAAAGCTGGACAGCAATATTGGATACACTGCCTTCTCAGTGTCACATGCCGGCAGATAAGCGCGTCCCTTGATTTGTTGGCCACGTACTTCCTGATGGAGCCCAGACTGCAGCTTGACTTATTTGCAGAGAGAACACTCCCCTGGCCCACGTTCAACTTGGCATCCACTGTAAGTCCTATCCTTTTCAGCAGGGCGGCTATTCAGCTTGCTGCTTCCCAGCATCTAGTGGACACTCTATTATGCAAGCAGCTACTATGTAAAAATAACTATAACAATAATAATAACAGCAATATTTAAAATCTAACTTATTAAATAGATAAACAGTAAGTCAAGCACCTCAAAAAGAAACATTAGTTTTAAATTACTTGTGCAAATTAAATGTCTCATGTATTCTCCCCGTTTACTTTGTGAGACCTCGGAGAAAGCAGCTAAAATAGTGCAATAAGAACAATTTCAGTACTTATGCATCAGTGAACACAACACTTAAATATCAAAAACCACATTTGGATTCCAGGCCTAGGACATTCCTTCAATCGTACCTTTTGCATGAACGTGCGTGCCCCTTTTTTTTCCAAAAGGTATCTCCTGTGTGGAGCAGGGGCCGCCAAGTGCCACACCGGCTGCCGACACTCAAGATGACTGGCTGGTTCCCGTATGTGGCTGCGATAGGAGCTGCTTCCTCCAAAGGAAAGGAGGAGGTGGAAGGAATCATTGTTATCCAGTGTTCCAGTCGGAAGGGCTGCATGCTGAGCCCAGCCCTGCTCAGCACTGAGAAAACTCCACAGTCTGTTTGGCAGTGGTGGAGGCCGGGAGACACTTCCTGAAGATCAACATCTCCCCAGTGGCTCCTGGACATTCATGGGAGGGGGCTGCTGCTGCTGCTTCAGCAGCTGCGTTGGCACAGCCATGGGATATTTATGTGCCTCCACAGCCTGGCAGCTAGCCAGCCTGTCCTTTTTTATTTTTTCCTTCACGGAAACACCCGTGGAAGGGAAACGAGATGCTCCAACTGTTTCTTTCAGCAGATCCTAGTACAGACAATGAAGAGAAGTTTTCAGGAGTGATCTTGCCTTTATAGGTGCTTACTGCCTTGAAAGGTGTATTATCTAGCAAGTACAAGTATCCTCTAGTTCCAGAACAAACCAATGAAAATTACACTGCTGAAAGCAACTGAAGGGCTGATGGGGGAAGGCAGAGAGTGGATGGGCTCCTCCTTGAATGGTGGCTGTGTCTTCAGTGTTCCAATTGGTGTGAATTCCTCTGGAGGCCACCAGTAGATGGACAGCGTTGCTGATGTATCAGTAACTGAACTCCTCCAAAGTTTGTCCAGTTCACTGTCATATCATCCTTCGCTCTGCTGGAACAGAACATTGCTCTGAGGGAGCGGCTTCCTGACCATCTGGTAGGTGGCCACTCTGTGACCCATTTAGATGCTCTTGATGTATATCTCTTAGAAGATCTTGAGAGTGCAGGTGTGGGTGACAAGAGATGTACAGACTGAGACATGGTGTCCCTCGCAGAAGGACGAATGGTGATACAGAAAATGGTGAGTAGAAATAAATGGTGACTGGCTTTTGGGAAGGGGAGTACCATTGTTCTTGTTAGTGGGGGTAGGAAGCCTTCTACCCCCTCTAGTGGTTCAAGGGGGCTGTGTGAGGTGTAGGAAGAAAAGGCTGAGCTTTTGCTTTTTTCATCCATTTGGGAGTCTTAGTAGGCAGTTACTGAAGAAGATGGCACTGGGATACTACTATCAGAGCTAAGAAACCGAGTCAAACAAGTTCTGTCATGGCCTCCTCAGTGCTGCCTCAGGGGCAACCCTCAAGGGCTTTATATCTTGGATGAAATCACTATAAGCCCAGCATGTAACAATCACTGGTAGTTCTGGATTTCTTTGGGGGACCTGAACAGGGTATTATCCCCTCTATTTCAAGGAACAGGCTGTTGGCTGGCTTTTTTCCTCTGTACTTGCTCTGTGAAGGATTCCTGCAACAGCCATTTGTGGTAATGTATCTGCCTAGTAATAAACCTGTTATTTTCTTTTCATCTTCAGCAATATTCCTACTATCTCAGCCAGAGCCTGAATGTTTTCTGACAGGGAAGGGGATGTTAGCTTCCCTTTAATCACATGAGTAACATACCCTAAATGCTCTGTTGGCGGGGATTGTGGGCACCCGGACTGTGAATTTGTTCAGATCAAGAAGCAACAGGCAGATGGGCTGAGTGGATCTCTCATCCTGTTTCCACAGCATCTGTGCAGTGTCACAGTGATGAGGTGGTGGAAGAAGATTTTTCTCACTGTTTTTTGCTACCTGGCAAAGGTAAAGGTGGTAAGAACCCTTGACCTGGATGACAGAAAGCCAGAATACAAGCCAGAGTCATAAAGCTTGTAAGTGAACTCCAAAGACCTGTCACATATGTATACGCAGGACTGAAGGCCAAGGTGTGTCATGGATAAATGCACATCCTGACCACCAGAGTTAATCACAAGCCATTTACCATCAGCAGGAGATGAGGATCTGTTTTCCAGGGAGAAAACTCACATTGGCCAAGAGCACACCTCCTGCTCTATTTTAGAGCATTTGACAAAATAAACAAGTTTAAACAACAAGCAAAGCATGTGTTTCCTTCTCTCCAGAGCAGGAAGAGGGGGAACCTTTGGTTCTGTTAAACAGATCAGCACAATATACAGGCTGGATATTTTTGGAGATGTGGCCAGCCTAAAGAAAAGGATCCCTGCAGTGGTAATTGTTCGCTCCCACAGTACATTTTAGGTACTGCCAGTGGGCTCCTGGCATGTTCAGGAAAGTTGAAGATTCTGACGCAGCCTTGCTCATGATAGATGACAGAAGCTGGAAGGATTAAAATAGCCTCAGAACAAACTGCTCTTAATCTTTAAAACAAGCAGACATAAGGATGCCATGACCTATTCCTGCAAGGAACAGGCAGACCCACTGCTGGATGGCTCTCAGGCAAACTATGAACCTAAGCAGAGAAGAAACAAAGAGTGTGTGAAAAAGTGGGAGCCTATGAACAGTCTTAGGCAGGGTGCTGTTAGCCACAAACAGAGGTCTGAGTATCCCTCAAATTGTCTCATCCAAAGTTCTACTCCCATCAGCCTGCTGCCCCGCCTCCATTTGAAGGTTTAGCAGCCGTACTTGCTTATAGTGTAATATTTTCTTTTTAAGTGTAAGAAGGATATATATTCCAAGGCCTTGAGTCACCTTAATTAAAACTCAGCTCCATTTCTGATACTTAATAAATTCTTGGTACTTCAATTAGGAAAAAAAACCATCAAAGGATCATCTTCCTGATATCTGAATATACTGTAAAACTTTTGGTTTGATCACTTTTTCAAGGCAAGAACAATGGATTTGTTTCAAACTTTAAATGGAACACAGCAAAAACTTTCACTGGTAACCACTTAGCTCTTGATCTAAATACCTGGACAGGAATTAGAGAAGTATGGGAATTAGTCTACTAAGTTGGAGAAAATCTTTTGCTTGGGAGCTCATTACAACTGCATTCACACAGTACTTCATTGTTACCTGGGTTGCTTACACCAGAAACAACAAACGTGCTTCCTCCAGGCCTTAAAAAAAAAAAAAAACTACCAAAAGCCAGACTCAGTGACAGGAGATGACCTTTCCTTTGCAGCACCCGAGGACTTGGGTCTGTGTGACACACACAGAATAGCCTGGAAGCCTGCAAAATGCAGTGAGGGCCAATGCCTCCCCAAAATCACTGCCTGAGTAAAGATGTAAATTATGAGTTTGGAATGTAACAAGCTGTAATTGCCTCTGCTGTCACCTTCAAAAGAGTTTTGAGCCTGTTGCAGCTGTCGATGGCTGAGGCAAGACCTTTGCTTCAGTGAGAGGCACTGAAGAGCAGAGTCAATCTGCTCACATGCATCTCTGGCAGCGGGGTTGGCAATTAACCTTGGATTGCCACGTTTCACCCTGTTGCCTCAACAGGGACTTTCCTTCCTGAAGGACCTGGAGGACACACGGTGCCCTTGCGCAAGCGTCCCGAGTGTGCGCTCCTGCCGGAGGAGGCTGGCACACACCTTTTCCCAAGAGTATCACCACTGCAAGGAACGGGAAGAGACAAGGTGTGGAGGAGCTATGGGGGCCATAAACGCATTTCTTTATTTTGCTGGTGTTGTAGGCTGCTTTAAGGATTTTACTAACTTCAGGGATAAAAACTAAGTGTGCTTGTCAGTCACTGTGCAGTGACCAACTGATGTAACTGTCAGTAAAATGAACAGGATTTTAACAGCTCTACAGTTTCAAGTTGCTGTACTTCATTCTCTCCCTTCTTATGGCTCATTCAGAGGGCTGAAAACCAAGCATCTTCAGAATCACTATTTCTCTTCCTTTCTAGTAACTGTCTGGTAAGTTTTAATTTAAAGAATATTTTGAACATCCAGAAAGCAAAAACTATCACATGGCATTAGCAGCAACACTTAGAGATCAAGTCTGAAAATAAAATACAGAGGCTTAGTATACATTTCCACCAATAACTCAGATTTCAGAAATTAGCAGTAAGGGATGAGCAGCGATACAGCTCACTAATTTTAAAAAAACAGTTATGTAATTGTTTTCAAATGTTAAAATTACTTCTATAAAGTTGCTGTAATTTTTATTTTCTTATCCACGTATCCTAATTTATGACAACTAATAGCTTTGAGATTTTTTTGTTTTATCCAATCCCTCACCTTTTCAATGTGGTAACCCATCAGTCACTTTCAATTCACTTTCCACAGATGGCAGGGAAGCAGCCTAGCCAGCACTTTCAGGAATTATTGTGAGACATTTTCCCCTGCGTGTTTAGCCATAAGCATTCTTCCCTCTGCTGCAGGCCCCTCCTTACACCGAGTCCTGCTCACAGCTTCCTTGCCTTATATCTCCACCCTTTCCTATTCAGCTAAAGCCCCGACTTTTAATTAGCTCAATTCCACCTCAAGTTTTAGTACATACTGAAGCTCAAACGTGTTGGCCAGGCTGCCTCTGCATATTGCCTCTTTCCCCATTTTTCTGTCAACATCTGGCAGGCTCATTTTACATTCTGCACAGTGAAGCAGAAGTATTACATTGGTTATCTACACAGTGCAAATACATCTAGCGTTTCACAGTTACTGGCCAGAATTGCTAATACTGTAGTTAAGCTGCTATTGAGCTAATATCCTTAAATGCAGTAACTTAAACCAACACCAATTAACACCAGAGAGGATTTAATGCTGCAGTTTTCCCCAGATTTTTTGATTTACACAGTATCATAATGCTTCTCTTTTCTCCTAATCAGTCACAGTACTTGTGTATTTTGAAGGATGCCATGATGCACATGCTCCCTCCTTTCCCATCAGCACAGAACACCATTCTCTTCTTTCTCTACTACTGCTCTTTGCCAAAGAGTAAATTTTCATCTCTGTGCTTTTGTTGCCTAAACTCCTCTAAGCTGAACTATGACCTCACAGCCAAAAGACCCCCTGCTTAGGTTGCACTTTCTTTTCTCATGTCAGATAGGAGAGAACTCAACCATGTATTAAAACAGGAGCTTGCTAAGACCTGCTTCATGGCTCGCTCAGTTTCCCACTGCTGCTCTAAGGGCTTTATGAAGCAACACCTCCCATCCCAAAGGGAAGGAGCCTCCCTCCCCCTTGGCCCCCTGCCCAGCACAGACCCAGGGGAAACACTTTCCTGAATTAGCTACCAATTCACTTCTGAGTTCGGATTTTGCAGTGAGGACAGGAAGTGTTTCATTGCACTAACTGAAGTCCTCTGAACACTTTTAATATAAAATACTGGAATTAATGTCCTCAATAAAATATATCTTTATTTTTTCCTCCAGAAGAAACAAGAGGAATAGAGGGGGGAAAAAAAGAATTAGTTTATGCAGGTTTGTTTTCTTCTTGGATGAGGCCAATCCACAGAGGGTAAAAGTTTAATTTTTTCAGTGTAAATAGCATGTTTGCTTAGTGCTCTCGCATATATTTTCCAAATAAATAAGTAGAGCAATACTGCTGTTTATATCTGGAGTCTCAAACCTTCCCCCACCAACCTGAGTCAGCAACAGATCACGAACTCTCTCAGATTAAGTGCAGAATGGGGGGAAAGGACTATTTTTGCTCAGTGAATGCCTTTAGACCAAAAAATTCTTACAGTATCATAGGCTATAAATCATTTTATGAAAAAATAAATACAGCGTGTCAATCCTGCAGACAGAAGCAAGCAAGGAATATGATGTCATCACTCATCTTTTTAACAATATTCAATTAGACCTAAACTGTATTTCCAAATAAGATGGTTTCCTTGAAATTATAGTCATATTCCTTTTAACCATAAAATGTACAGTGAAATAGTTAAGCAGAACGCGCCTTTAAAAAAAAACACAAGAACAAACTACTGACCATTGGTACTTACAAATAATGTAAATTATTATTCCACAGCTGTAGGGATTGTCTTAAATAGTAAGACTTTTAATCAAGTAAAAAAATTACTTATTTACATAATTTAGATTGCTTCTGAATTTTATTCAGATTTTATTCTTAGTTTCATATGGACAGAACAAACATGGAAATCCTACAACTTCACAGTGTATGTAAGTTATCTGGTTATCCTGCAGCTGAAATCTTACAAAGGCCGCTGATCTCACCCATCTTGCACAAGCAAAGCCTTCATCTACTGTTTAAATACTTGTGTTTTACTAACAGCACTGTTAACAGTAGCACCGAAGATACACTTACTGAACAGCTGATGAAAATATTTTCCTGTATTTAAATGAGATGTAATTACAACTTTGCTAAAATGAACCACTCTGTTTACAATGGAAGTTAAAAGCAGTCCCAAATCACTGCCCTTAATCCTCTCAGTAACAGAACACATCAGTTCCCAGATGTTTCACAGGAAGTCATTCCTAACTATGTGCACAGTCACACACTCACACACATACATACATGAAACAAAGCAAGGTTTGTACAGACTTAAAAGATTCACTATGAATTTCTTGCTCAGATTTGCCAGGAAAACCATGATTTGTCAGCTTTATACACCTCACATGTTTACAAGGCAGACTGACATCTTTGGATCACCTTCTCCCAAAGCTGTATTAGACCACAACTCCTCCACAGCAGCCTATGAATCGCTTCTTTCATTGCCAGTTTGGTTTTTTTCTGGATCAAGATAACTGCCTTCAAATAACATTCTGTTTTTCATTCCTTCTTTAAGCATTCTTTGCCGGATCCTTTGTTGAGCCAAATTGTACCTGCAGTAAAACCTAGAGGGGGGGGATGAAAAGAAAACATGATTCCCTGCCTTATATGAGTCACGGTATCAAATCAGACTTATTCAGCCAGTTGAAACGTTGCAGTCACATATAAAAATGCTAGTAAAATTCAGCATGCTGCCTTTGGAATTAGGACAGAAGAACGGGGTATGCAAAGGAAAAAAAAGAAAGAATTAAGAAAAATGGAAATAACTGGGTGGCTTGAGCTCTTAGGATTCAAGTTTTTAAAAAATATATGAACATGAAAATTCACTCACATTGAACTGTTTCCCTTTAAAAAAGAGAAATATCTTGAGGAGAAGGAAGAGGATGCTTTGCTAGGCAAGTTTTTTAATGGAGTTTCAAAAGCAGTGTGAAATACTGTTTCTGAAAACAAACATGGGGATCATGTAGTACAGTTCAGCCAACACATGTCTGTTAAAATTGAAGAAGCATTTTACATACCAGTATCCTAACATTGTGGAAATAAAGCCACCAACTGCAAAGTCACAAGATCTTCTAACTCTACCTAAAAAAACCCAACAAAAATTCTCCAAAAAGTTAGAGGAAAAAAAGCCTTGGATCACTTCCCATTATTAATAACACTTAACAGCAAATAGGAATTTTTTCTCTTGCAAATAAATATATAACCAGAAGGAATAAGTACTTACTAGTTGCTAAAAAATGTCCAAGACCCACAACTAAAGACCCCAGGGAGCCATAGAGCACAGATTCTCGTGCACATGGGACACTTTGAACATCAAGAAATCCCAAGAGTTTAAAGGACTGTAAGACACAACAAAAAAACACACCATAAACTTAAAAAAATCACTTTTGTAGAAGTCTATGATGCCAACTCCATTCTAAAACTGACTTGTTATTTTCGTAGTCAAATAGACTGTATTTCCAAATACAGTTGAGGATTTACTGCCTGCACAGTTATAGCTGAGGAAAAGTGAACAAGCACAGCTGTATCAGGAATGGTTTTGGAAGAACTACTAACTTACGCAACATAATTTTCTACAAACCCGTTGATCCATCCTTTCTACTGAATATTATAAAATGACTACTTAATTTTCCCCCTTTACATTCCCCCAAAAAGGAAGGGAGAAAACCCTTAAGAATGCAGGATTTTTGTTACATCACAACACACAAATAAGGCTACAATCAAGTACACAGTTAGTTATGCCATGTAATTTTAGTATATGAAAAGGCAAATGTGCTTTAAAAAAAATTGAAATTACTAGAGAATGAGCATATAATAGAGAACCTTGTACTGAACAGTAAATGAAAACGTTTATAAACCAGTAAATTTTAACCTAACCCTATGTACAGCCAGGGGCTGGGCACAGAAATTCTTCTATACATAACGAGTAATTTTCTTAATTAACCTACTGGTAAAAAAAAAAAATCAAACTACTACATATGCTGCCTCCTATCTATAAACTGACCTTTTATTTCACTCAAATGGCAATTACATGTGGCATTCACAAAGTCAACTGCGAACTGAAAAGTATGATTTTCATTTCAGAGACGCCTACTCTGGCTTCTGCATGTAATTCCTATTTCCCACCTGACAAACATCCTTGCAAATGCAGGCTGGCACCACAAGCAGGAGTGAGAAACTGCATACAAAAAAGAAGCCTCAAGATGATATGAATCAGGGTCAAGGTGGCTGCACCACAGTAACATCAGCACATCTTTCTGCTATCATTCTTTTGTCAGTGATAGTGCAAGAATACATCTTCGTTGTGTTTAAATCCTTAAAGCATTAAGTGCCATGTGTGCAACTGTATCTAAATTCATCAAAGATGACTGGTTTATTTTTTTAAAGGTATTCTACTTGGTCAAAGTGGATTTTAAAGATGGAGAACTACAATCAACTGTTCGTGGAGGGCTGACATCTCTGAGACAAGTCATCACAAAACTGGTAATAGGGATGACAAGCATCTGACAACAGCTGGATTTGTATGCAAGTATGGAAACCCCCATCGTTAGTTTTACCCACGTTCCCTATGGAAAAACTATCAGCTGTTTCCACATAATCCCTATGTACACGCCAGACAGAAAGGATGTGGTCTATGTTGGTCGAATCTCCTAAACAGCAATTTCAAGTACTCTCACAAGGAAGAAGTCACTGGATATGCTGCTGTTGTTGGCCAAGGAGGTATCCCTGCTACATCCGTGCAGCATGATGCACTCTTTTAAAATAGCATTTCACCTGTTGCCGAACTGGAAATCATTTGTTCTGTCTCTAACCACCGTAATCACCGGCGTTAAGGAGGTTCCAGTGTCACGACGGCGTTTCGCCCACAGAGAGAAACTCCCACGGGGGGGTCCGGGGGAAAACAAACACACACAACCCCTCACCCCACCCACTCGGCCCTACAGAGCCTCGGTTCTGCCGTGGGTTTCCGTGTATTGTTCTCTAATTATTTCCTCTGGAGATAAAACAGCGGGTGTGAGGGTCACGGCTGCTCTGCCACAACCTCCCATGTCCCCAGCGCGGGACTCCCGCGGAGACACGGGTGCCCGCGTAGCTCTTCCTCATTCTCCTCCTCCTCCTTCTCGCCCCTCTCCGCCCCCCCTCTCCATTACCTTCCTCGGCTCAGAGTCGCCCTCGCCCGCCATGACGCGGCAGCGCCTTCCCGCCCGCACCAGCGAGCCGGGGCCGCGCCCGCGTGGAGAGCGGCGCCGAGGAGCGGCCGCTCCGCCCGCCCCGTCTCTATGGCGCCCGCGGAAGGGGCGGGGGCGGCCGCGCCGGCGCCATTTTAGGTCCCGGCGCCGAGAGAGATTCCAGCGAAAATCCTTTGTTCGGCGAAATGGGTCACGGAGCGGGGGGCGCGCGCGCGGGCACGCGGGCGGGAGGCGGAGCGCCGGGCTCATCCCGCCCCTCTCCTCCCCTTCCCTTTCCACTCCCTCCCGCTCCAGGCGCGCGCCTCCGTGGGGCGCGGGAGAGCCGAGACTGTGGGTAGCGTCTGGATCCTGACTCCCGATTCTTGGCTGCCGGCGGGCACCCGGGGCTACGGGAGACTGTGCTCGGGTGTACCGTAAATGCTGGAAGAGGGGCCCTGCCGGAGTCCGGCTGAGCCGCGTTGTTAAAAGCCAAAAGAGAAGTCACAGGGGTGGGGGATGTAAACGCGCTCAGTGGGTAGCACCTAGTGGGAGAAGGAGGTGATGGGATCCCTCACGGCGTGTAGGTAGCCTGAAGGATGCGGGGATACACCCCCCAAAGGCAGATGGGGGAGAGTTGATTGTCCGTCTCCGCAACTCAGAGTGCTGGAAAGGGACGATGGCTTGTGCTGCTGAGGGAAAAGTACCTCGGTGGCAGCGGGAAGCAGGAAGTGGAGGAAGAATCGTTTGAAGAGAAGTGCTGTGGAAAATGGCCTCTTGTGAGGCCATGTACATCTACTTCAAGCAAAACCCCAGTGGGTTCGGAAGGGGTGAAACCTGTGTTAAATCACTTGAACATGGTGGAAATTACCTATTAGGTATGTGTAATTGTATCTGCAGTAAGGATGTGAAGAGGTAAATAGAAACAAGTGACTTAGGACAGAGTTACAGTTCTGCAAGATACTGTAAAAATACATTTTGCCGCAAGAAAACAAGTTTCTACCCGCCAAGAAGTGAATGACAGGGTAGGTTCAATTTAAGATCTTTTCCATCTTAGCGATGAAGTATCACAAGGATGAGAGATGTGTAATATTGCTCTTTGATTTAAAAAATAGTGTGTCTTGACCTAGGAGGCATGAGATGTCTTCAGACCTTGTTAAATATTATTATGTATTTGGGTTTTTTTTAATCCTATGCTAAATAAAACAGTCTTTTTCACACACTGAAATTTATGTCAATTTGAATTTTATCTCATTACTTACATGTTTGCAGGATTTTGGAAACAATGTACTTTCACACATAATCAATTTTCATGTATCACTAGCTGAAAAGTGCTACTGTACATTTGCATGAGCTATTTTAAATCCCACATGGATTAGAAACAAGTCTCAATCCTTCCCAACAGTCCCAATCTAGCACTGTTTTGTCATCTTTGTAGATCTTGCAGGCAGTGCTCTGAATTCACGAAACACACTGATTCAATACATTTACTATCCATTTTAAAAAGATCAGTAGGAGTCACTTGAATTGTGAGTAGCTTGACCTGTTTAAAGCTAATGTATATTATGTATGTAGTGCTGCAAACACAGGATATTTGCTGTAATATGTGAAAAACAAATTATTGGTATAATCTCTCATTGGAAAAGTCTGTAATGTCTGGTTTTATCTTAGTTGGTTTAAAAATTAAGCAGTGACAAACACTGAGGAATATAACAAGGAATCATAAGAACGTGTTAGTATGTCTGAGATTAACAAGGCCACAGTGGTGAGAAACAGACACTGCTTTTACTGCTGATGAGGTGGCCTGGCCTGCAGCAGTTCATATTTTGAAGGAAAACAGTGGAAGGATGTTTTTTTCTTTGAAAGAGGAAATTGGTTTTAGCATTAAGGTGCTGGAGAGCAGAGAACACAGAGCATCTTCTGACTGATAGTCAAAAATAGGCTAGGAAGTGTGTGGCTTTCCTTGTATGTTATGTATCCCTTTTCCAAGCATTCAAATCACACAAATTACACTAAAATATCCATTGCCAATAAACATATTCAATTTTTTCCCTCTCTTTTTGGTATTCAGTCATTACTCTGCTTTACTGCTGCACCTCACAGTTCTGCTTCACCTGATTCAGAAGCCGCTCTAAAATTAATAACTATTACCCTTGGTGGAGTTAGAAGTACACAGAGGGCTGCTTGTCAGTGCTTGGGGTCAGTGAAGATGCTGGAGCTGGAGCATCCTTAGCTTAAGAGCAGAGGGACCACTGATAGGACATTTTGGGATAGCCTGAAGCGTGCAGCCATCATTCCCTTGTGTCCCTAGGGGCCTGAGATGTCTGCGTGTGCAGAGGGCAGGGGGTGGTGTCCTCTGGCACATGAGGAGGGCAGGGGTCTTGAAGTGCAGGCCTCATACTTCTGCTGCTTTTACCCTGATGTCCACTGGAGACTCTGGAAGTAGGATGTTCTTTTCACATCCTGGATTCAAATAAAAGTGCGGATAGATAGTTCTAGCTAGCTGAAATGCAGGTTTTAGTCTGTAAGTTGATAAAGCAGGATGAAGTTGTGGGGGCATGTTGCATTTAGAGGGTGATAGCACAGGGAATGTGAGAGCTGCTGGATATGCCTGCTGCCTTGCCAACATGACTTGCTGCAAGGGCTGGACCAACCTTGGCTTAAGACTTTGGTACACCTGGTCCAGCAAAGGCATATCCCAGCATTGTACCTGCCAGTGTGCCTACAGGGACAGTGGTTGAGCAAGAGCCCTGCATGGCTTCCTCCACTAACAGGGACCTGTGCTGTTTCTGGAAGCTGGGCATCTTGTATATGCAAATTTGGAATTGTCGCCTTGGATTTCTGAACCTAAAAGACACAATAGACATATAAAAATATTCTTCTTTCTCCTCTTGGAGCTGGATACCCGTGGCAAAACCTGCCTATACATGCTCAGTTCTATCAATCATAGGGTGCTGATTGCCACTTGCTCTCAGCAGTTTGAACTTTTCCTATATTTATGCAGTTCTTATTTTTATTTGCAGTGATCAATAAAGTGTAGCGTCCTTAGCTGTATGCCTGTCCATCCTGAAATTGACAGCTTGGGAATGGTTTGGATGGGTCTTTGACTGTAGTCTTTGTTCTGTCACCCTTCACGCCTGTGTTTAAAGGTTGGGCCAGGCAAAACACTTGTCAGTCCAGCAGCAGGAAAGAGACCACGGTGTACAGGATATGAAGCAGCTGACAGAAACCTGGCTCGCTGACTTCGCCAGTGCTTATTTCCTTCATCACACAGAGAACTTTATCGAGGTGTCTGAATCTACATACTAGTAGGTATGTATCTTGTCACTTCTGAAACAATTTTGGGCTACACTCCCAAGGAGGAGGAAGCCATCACACAAACGTGGAATTTCCTACCTTTAGCACCTCTCGGTCACGTAAGTTATTCCTATACCATAAGCTGTTTATGTAGTCTTGTGGAAAAGCAAGCACATGCAAAAGCTGTGACAGCCTGTCCTAAGAAATACATTTATTAGGTTGTGGATGATAACCACATTTAGGTTGATGGCCACCACAGACCTTTCAGATAACTAACCTTCATGGTGAATTCAGCGTCTCCTGAGGGCTGCTCTGCCTGGGTAGTTTGCAAAGGTCCTCCTGGTCTGTCTGTAGCAGTTGTTAATGACCAGTGGAGGCTGCTCTGTCTGTTGGTATCCACAGATATCCTTTCAGCTCCACATGCAACTTAAACTGTTCTGAGGGGGACTGCTGACACCAGAGGTAGTCCAGGCCTTCCTCTTCTTTGCTGTGAATCCTGTCTTCTCCTTTGTACCACCAGCCCTGCTGCCTGAGAAGCTGAAAGTTAACACTACACAAAAAGCTTCTTCCTGGCCATGGTGAGGGGAGAAACAGGTTGGTTGTTTTTTTTTTGAAAGCAAGTGCCAGTTTAGATCAAGTGCCTCAAGAAATTGCTCTGTTGAAGATGTTGTTTATTAAGTAGCAGGCCATCGGTAGTTGAGGCATGCCTCAAGGCAAAATTGGAGATGTCCAGTGGGACTTTTTATCTGTCTTCATAGTCACCCTGAAGCTACTTAAATACCAGTCAAGAGTAGCTTGTGCTGACCACGTGCCATTTTGTAAGCCTTGAAAGCAAGGAGTACTTTGCAGCCCAGAAAGCCAGCTGTATCCTGGACTGTATCAAGCCACATGGTTGAGCTCTAATCTACTCTGCTCTCTTGAGACCCCACTCTGGGATCCTCAGCACAGGGAAGATATAGGCCTGTTGGAGGGGGCCCAAAGGAGGGCCATCTGAAGATGATCAGAGCGCTGGAGCATCTCTTCTGTGGAGACGGGCTGAGAGCTGGGGTTACTCAGCTGGTAGGAGAGAAGGCTCTGGGGATATCTTATAGCACCTTCCAGTACTTAGAGGGAGCCTACAAGAGAGCTGGAGGGGAACTTTTTAGCAGGGCCTGTTGCAATAGGACAAGGGGTAATGGCTTTAGACTGAATGAGAGTACATTTAGATTGGATATTAGGAAGAAATTCTTCACTCTAAGAGTGGTGAGACACTGGAACAGGTTGCTCAGAGAGTTGGTAAATGCCCCATTCCTAGAAACATTCAGCATCAGATTGGGTGGGGCTCTGAGCAGCCTGATCTAGTTGAAGATGACCCTGCTTATTGTGGGGGAGTGGATTAGATGATCTTTAGAATTCCTTTCCAACCCAAGGTACTCTATGATTCTGTGTTTCTGTGGTGGTTTTGTGGGTGTAAATGGTTAATATGATGGCTGCAGAGATACTGTGCAGTAGGTTGGGTCAGAGTAACCACCCTTGTGGGGACAGGGCGGGCACAAGGAGTGTGAGCAAGGTGCTGTTGCCAAGGCAGTCATCAACCACACTCGTGCAACTGAATAAAAAAATTACTTTTTTTCCCCCAAGCATTAATGTTAATGCAAATTACATTTCAACTGCATGGCAATTTTATTCTGGGTTGGCTTCGCTGATCATTTCTGTAGGTTGACTTTGCCTAACTTATTCCTAACTGCTTGTACAGATGATCTTTTCATCTGCAACACATAAGAGATTTTAATTCAATGTATTCCTCTGAAAGCTAAGGAAACAAGGGGAGGCTCCTAATAGCTTTATTTTTTTCTGCCAGATCTCTTAATCTGTTTATGTTATTTAGGCACTTGATTCAAAAAGGAAGAGGGATTTATATTATAAAAGAA